AAAGGCTTCCATTTGTCATCAATATCCTCCCCAAACTATATGTGTGTGTGTGTGTGTGTGTGTGTGTGTGTGTGTGTGTGTGTGTGTGAGAGAGAGAGAGAGAGAGAGAGAGAGAGAGAGAGAGAGAGAGAGAGAGAGAGAGAAATTTTGGAGGGGAATCAATCTAGGGAAGAATACAGTGGGACTATCACTTCACTCCTTCCTGGTGCTATGTCTGTCTGTCTTTCTTTCTTTCTTTCTTTCTTTCTTTCTTTCTTTCTTTCTTTCTTTCTTTCTTTCTTTCTTTCTTTCTTTCTTTCTTTCCTTCTTTCTTTCTTTCCTTCTTTCTTTCTTCCTTTCCTGATTTACTTTGTGATTTACTTTATATACATCTGACTATTCATATCAAAAGCAGTCAGTGCCTAGCACGCAGGGAGAAAAGATCTCAGGCAACAGATCCCTTTTTTTTTCTTCTAAAAATAATAGTGCTTTTAAAGAATTAGAAAAATACACCACTTGTGTTTTTATTGTTAGGTCTGAAAAAAAGATGATTGTTGGTTTCATCGTCCACTAAAGTTACTTCAATAAACGTGACATTTTTAAGCCTGCTCTGGACACTGCATTGGGCTGATTTATGTGATGGAATTCAGAAGGATGGGAATTCCAGCCCCAAACCCCTGTCTGAGATTGGAAGGGCAGAATCAATATTCCCTCAAGTTCTATCAGCGATGCTTTTTTTTTCAGACTATATCAGCATTACCAGCCCTGGTTGAAAGATCTTCTTGTTTGCTTGAAAAAAATCCTGATTTGGGTTTTTTTTTTGTTTGAGTGTCTTTGAAGCATGGCTAGATTTCTATAAAACTCTACGTACTCAAAAAGGTACGAGTGACACCACAAGAGACAGAGTTCATTATTTCAATCTTTTGGGATAAAGGCTTTCACAATGAAGTAGATGTCCTTCTTCCCTTAGTCCACTGCTTATGCCTAAAATGAAAGTTACCTTCAGATTTACCATATTACTTGGCTCTGCCTACTGACAACCAGTGCTGGATTTTCTAATAGCAGCTGATGGTATAGTGGATAGATTACTGGGCTTGAAATCAGGAAGACCCAAATTCAAATCCTATCTCAGACTCTTATTTGCTGGGTGACTGTAGACAAGTCACTTAATCATGCTCATTCTGAGTCTCATCTGTAAAATGGGAATAATAATGGCACCTACTTCCCAGGATTGCTGTGAGGTTCAAATGAGATGATATATGTAAAGCACATAGCAAACCATAAAGTGCTGTAGTTAGCATTTTTATTATTAACAATTATTCATAGGTGTAGTGGCTATTTGCTTAGAAGTCCACAGTTAACTGGTTAACAAGGTTAGTGAAGTGAAGCTGTTACCCACCCCCACTGTCACTCCCATTGCAGGCTGGAAAGTTTTCTTTGTGGGCCTTGAGAGCATGGGGTTGGGGCAGCTAGGTGGCACAGTGGATAGGGCTCCCGTCTTGGAGTCAGGAGAACCTGAGTTCAAATCCTGTCTCAGACACATAACGCTTCCTAGCTGTGTGACCCTGGCCAAGTCACTTAACCACAATTGCCTCACCAAAAAAAAAGCAAAAAAGAGAGAGAGAGAGAGAGAGAGAGAGAGAGAGAGAGAGAGAGAGAGAGAGAGAGAGAGAGAGAGAGAGAGAGAATGTGGGAATTAGAAAAGCAGCAGCTTCCTTTGCTCTCCAACCACCTCCAAGGTAGATTGAATAGTGGGAAGGACAACTGATTTCAAGGACCCTTGAATAGGAGAGGAACACAGACCTACCCCAAAACTCATAAGGGCCTGGCTAATTGACTAAGTAGAATGTGAAATACAAAATTTATTTTATTTTAATTTTTTTTCAAAGTGTCCCCTAATAAAAATTTTTAAAAATTTAATTTATCTTTTTGTTACATTTTAAGTTCTGAACTCTCTCCCTCCCTCCCTATCCCACACTACAGAATGCCGCCATTTGACGCATTTGACATACACACACATATATGTAAAACCATACTATGCATACTTCTATTTATTGGTTCTTTCTCTGGAGGTGGATAGCATCTTCCTTCATAAGTCCTTTGTAGTTGATTTGAAAAATACAAATTTTTGAAAGGAATAATAAGCCTCCTAATTTAGAAAATAGAATCTTTTAAAATTGTTTTCCACTGTGGTACCTGAGGGCTTTTGTTTTGGAATTATTAAAAAAAAATTACAACCTGTGAAGCAGGCCCCGAAGTGTTGGTGGTTCAGAACCCGTGGACATTTTAATGCATCACAGGTGATGGCCGTGAGTAGGGGCATAAGTAAATTCTTTGGTTTGAAAGATTTTTCCCTTTCTCAGATAGGATGTAATAAGAATTGCCTCTTGGCCAATTTACAGGGATATTAAAAGGCTAAAAATGAATGATCTATAATAAATGCATAAAACCCTATGAAAATAAGGGGTGGCCTTTCTCCTTTTTCAGTTTCTCCCTATCTGCTGGCTCCTTTCCTGTTGCTTGCCATTGCCTCCTCATTCTTAAAAACCTTCACTTGTCCTTCCTATCCCCTCAAGCTATCAGCCCATAGTTTTCCTCCCTGTCATAGACTCCTTAGAAAAGACCTTCCATGTTCAGCCTGCATTTATGCACTGCCTGTTCATATTTTAACCCTTTTGCCATCCAGTTTTCAGGTCTTAAATGAAGCTGATCTCTAGGAAATATAAAACTCTTTTAAAAAAAATTACCCCCCCCATTTATATGCCAAAAAAATTTTTAACATTCATTTTTTCTTTTTTAATTTTGAGCTCTAAATTTTCTCCCTCCCTCCTGCCTCTGCTCCTCCTCCCATCCTTGACAGTGAGCAATCTAATATAAGTTATACGTGTGCAATCATGTAAAACATATTTCCATATTAGTCATTTTGTTCCATCAAACACTTAAGTGGTCTTTTCTCAGTCCTCATCTTCTCGACCTCTAGGACTTTTAATACTTGACTACTCCTTCTTTGAATTACATTAATGAAGGAGAAGCCTGCCATGCTAGGCTACAGTAATAGATCCTTGTACTTTATTTTCCTTTTGTTTATGTAGTGTCCTAGTTACTTTGCTGGCAGTGTTTGGAGCTGTCATGACCTGGTCTAAAAACAGATTCCTGGTCAAAGTATTGTTGGCTTAAACATATCTTGTTTAAATTGTAGGTCCTCCTCTGCGCTGGTAACTTATTATATGTTATGTAGCCATTGAACATATTTATCAGCCAAATCTAAGGTGGAAATAGCAATTTTATTGTGATGTTATAATGTCCTTGCATCTAAGCACAAGCTTCTTCTGTACCTTTGACAGGGAAGTGCCATATATACGGCTGGGATGGGCAGGGGGATTAGGATCAAGTTGCCCAGACCACTTCAAAAGCTTGTCCCTAAAAGACTTACACCAACTCCATTCAATTTATTTTTATTTTTTTAGGCAATTGGGGTTAAGTGACTTGCCCAGGGTCACACAGCTAATAAGTGTCAAGTGTTTGGTCAGAGGCTGGATTTGAACTCAGGTCCTCCTGACTTTAGGGCCAATGCTCTATCCACTGGGCCACCTAGCTGTCCCTAACTACATTCAATTTTAAAAGCATTTATTAAGTACCTACGATGTACCCATTGCTGGGCTAGGCATTGGGAATACAAAAACAAAGAGAAAAATTTCACCTGCCCTGAAGAAAATTAGAGGCTACTAGGAGAAAACAGCATGTACTTATTTAAATAAATACAAGCTAAATACAAAATAATGGGATAGAGGAGAACGTTAACCAATGAGAGCATCAGGAAAGGTTGTTTGAAGGAAATGGCCATTAAACTTAGTCTTTAATGGAGGTAGGGATTCCAAGAGGTGGAGGTAAGAGGGAGAGCATTACCAGCCTGGGAGATAGCTTATATAAAAAACCTGAGCATCCTGTAACAGCCCAGTACTGTTCATGGGGGCTCAGAAATGGATCAGAAGTCTATCCTTCACCAAGCTGACCTCCTGTATCCTCCAAATTCATTTGCCAGTATAATTCTTATTTTCATTGATTCTCTCTGGCAGGAGGATTTAGAGAAAGGTCAGTGTTCTGATTGAGAAAATCCTGTAACAGGTTTGTGCTTAGGAAGTTTCCCAGTTCCTCTTCTAGACCTCAAAGCATGAATATGGGACTGGCTGAAACAAAGGTTGTTAATGGAGCCTGCAGCACAGGCTCCCTCCATCCTGCGCCCATTGCTGCTCTGAACGTCAACCATCTGGGTCACCAAGCCTGGTGAGAATGCCTTCTCTGACAGACACACACACACATACACACCATGGATTTTCAACCCAACTGCCACACAGCTTCCAACAAAGAGTCAGGGTTGAATTCTTCATATCCAAATGCCACAAAATGTGCCTGTTCACTTGAAAACATGTTCAAAGACAGGAGAAAGAAAAGAGGGCCCTGTCTTTCCCTTGAAATTAATTTAACAGCGAAATTTCATTTCATTGGTAGTCTTGAGAGGTCTTAGGGCTAGGTGTCTGAGTCCATTAGCATTCAGAAAATAATTCTTAAACTTTTCTGTACTTGTGAAACCAGTTCTGGGTTTTAAAAGGTCTTTAAGCATCTGCTTTTACCATTCCCTTGGACAATTCCCCAGTATGGCCAGAACTGAGTGAAAATAAATACGAAATAACAAAGTAATAACCCAAATACTTCTTCCACATGTTGGAAAGTCTTAGCATGCCACCGTTGTCTCTTTCAGAGAGACAGAACTACAGGAGCATGGCTGTGACAGTGCTTTTTAAGGATTGGGACTGGGGGGCATTCCCCCTCAATGGGGACATTCTCATATGATAGGATCCCTGTAAATCTAAATTACAACACAGGCTATGCTGAGAAGTATGCAGGCAATTTAGAAAATTCTCAGCTGGGAACACAGATTGCCAAATTCCTCTTACTGAAAATAATTGTGTACTAAAATAGGAGATGACCATAGCTCTGTGGCCTGACGTGTTGTAGTTAAGCGGACACTCCTGGTCATCTCCCTCCAGATCCTTACTAGGTCCGAGAAGTGAAACTACAATACCAGCTTCCAAAGTAAGAAACTTCAGATTAATTTTTGACTTAGTCTTTGGCTCTGACCATCTGTCTTGTTATCAAATCTTGATGCCTTTTGCTTCCACAAGTCCAGAATACGACTTTCCTCCCTTATCTCTATTCCAAGCATTGGTCAAGTCTTGTTTGAACTATTGCAACTTCCTGTTTCTGGGACTCCTGACCTTAAACACTGTTATGGGTTGACCTTAACTTTGCTTCCAAGTTCACAGGATTATAGATGAAGAGTTGGAAGGGACCTTGAAGGTCATGTATTTCAATCTCATTATTTTGTAGATGAATGAGTGAGTGAATAAATAAATGCAAAAGCATTTATTAAGTGCTTATTATGTTTGAACTGCTGAGTGTTGGAGATACAAATCCAAGAGAGACCATCTACGGGGCGGTGGCTAGGGAAGGGTAAAGTCAGAAATCGTGAGGGGAGCCATAAAATAATTAATTTCCAGAAGCAATAGTATTGTTGATCTGATCACTGGTGAAGAAATTGAGGAAAAGAAAAGTTGAACGACTAATACAAGCTAGCACTGTTACTAAGTGGCAAAAGTTAGATTTGAACCCACATTGTCTCAATCCAAATCCAGCATTCTTTCCACTGCAACATACTGTCTATTGTTTTTCCCTGAGCTTCCCACTTCAAGGTCTTATGGAACACTCAATTTCACCCTGGACTAATTCAATTCAGTTCAATTAAGGAAGTATTTGTTCAGCTCTGACTACTTGGCAGGCATTTTGTTAGGCAATCAGGATACAGAGACAAAAGGGAAAGTGTCCTGGCATTTAAATCCTTTAAGTACTTTGAATTCTGCTGGAGAGAAGCCTGAGTTTCCCTATATTGATTACCTCCAGGGGCCTGCTCTCAGGCATCAGAGACTGCATACTGTTTGTCCTTGTTCTGGAAGAGGCTCATGACCTCAGGGAGGTGATGCCATGACATGCAAGTGAATTGGATTTAAGGGAGAAAGGGCTGTGCAAAGTCACCAGCCTCACTTTCTCTTCTGGAGCCATCTGGGTCCAGTGGCCAGATATAGATCAGGATGACTGGAGATGGCCCAGGATGCAGAGAGACCTTGGCTTTTTTTAAGCAAAGGTCTTTCCCAGTTCTCGATTTCTTACCTAGATGCCTGAGGAGAGAAGAGGGAACACTGGAATGTTTCCACACATTCATTACATTTATATGTTTTTTCTCCTCCAATATGAGTTTTCTCATGAGGAGATCATCCTTTACCAGTGCAGGTTAGCACTTTCTTTGCAATTTATGGTCTTGGAGTTGTCTAGAGCACTGAGAGTTTAAATGACTTACCCAAGGTTACTCAGTCAGTCCGCATCAAAGGTGAAACTCGAACCTAGGTCTTTGTGGCTCTGAAGTCAGCTCTCTTATCCGCTACACTGTGTGGGTCTCTCATACTGTTTCACATACTGACAAATGCTTCTTAATCTAATAATAATAATTTGAATAAAACTTAATTGATACTGGTTTTAATTTATTACTCATTAATTTAAAATTGTTTTAATTCATTATTTGTTAGTTTAATTGATTTGTTATTACCTTATCTACCTTTCCCAATGCGTCCTTCCCTATTCTGCTTTCCAGAAAGCCATCCTTTATTAAAAAAGAAAAAGAAAACAGTTCAAGAAAACCAGACAACATGTTGGGAAAAAGTGGCATTATATTCAGTGTTCCACATCCATAGTCCTCCACCTCTATGGAGAAGCAGGGGTTGGTGTCTTCTTGTGTTTGAGAGCTGAGCTCGGTCTTTGTAATTTGACAGCATTCATTTAATTTTTGGGTTGTTCTGTGTCTTCTTGGTTCTTCTTGCTTCACTTTGTGAAGTTGTTTTGGTATGTGAGTGTTGGCATATCTTCCCATGATTCTCTGTATTCATCATATTTATAGTTTCTTCTGTGAATGTAAAAACAGTCCATATCACAGCTTGTTTAGATCTTCCCCAGTGAAAGGAGATTCATTTTATTTAGAGTTCTCTGTTTCTGCCAATGCTGCTATAAATGCTTTGGTATATATACAGGCCTTTTTGTGCCATTAATGTTCTTGGGGGCATATGCCTGGATCAAAAGGTATATTTGTGTATATATGTGTATATATATGTATATATATATATATATATACATATATATACATATATGTATGCATATATAAGAAACTTACATATATTTATTAGTATGTATAAATGTCTTGGGCACTATTTTTTAAAAATTATAATTCAAAATTATTTTCCAAAATGATTGGACCAAGGAATCCAATGAGCTAAGATGGCAGAGTAGCAAGAAGATGCATAGTTAGTTCCCCCTGAAAAAACTCTACCAACCATCTAGAAATGTCACCAAACCAAATTCTGATAGGGAAGTTCAAGAAGCCACATTGAGTCATTTTTCCAGGCCAGGTTGACATAGAAAGATAGAGAGGTCTGGGGAGGGGCAAGATATAGCTATGAAGTACTAAGGTACTGGAGCTGATTATAGTGCCCAGGGACTGGAAGATGACAGAGACTGTGCACCTGGGCAAGACGAACTCCCAGACTCATGTTAAGGCCCTTTGACCTTGTGTAGGATGCAGGAACTATTGCCAATTTTCAGCTTTGTTGCTTACTACCCAGCAGGTGGATTTCTGTTGATTGAAAAAAAAAGATTAATTAAGAAACCCCACAATGATTGTTTTTCAATTCCCAGTTCCATTAGCAATGCATTAATATCTTTCCATGTCTCTGACATTGGAAAAGTGGAACAGTCCTTTTGTCATCTTTGCCAATTTGCTGGGTGTGAGGTTGTTTTGATTTTGATTTCTTTTATTGGTGATTTCTTATTATTTGTGATTGTATTTTCTCATGTGGTTGTTGTTTGCTCATTTTAATTGTGTTTATTTGGAAGTTTAAACAAATTATATAATCAAAGTGACCTTTTTTATCTTTTGTAATAAATCCTATTCCTTGTTCAATTAAGAATTCACTTGTTAGCCATAGCTGTGAAAGATCGTTGACCTTTACTCTTCTAATTTTGAAAACTGTAGCTAACATTTATATGGTGCCCGCTATATGCCAGGCACTGTGCTAAGTGCTTTAGAAATATTATTTCCCTTGATCCTGACAACAACCCTGGGAGGTAGGTGTTATTATTATCCTCATTTTACAGGTGATAAAACTGAGGCAAACAGAGGTTAAGTGACTTGCCCAAGGTCACATGGCTATTAAGCGTTTGAAGCCAAATTTGAATTTACATCTTCCTGGCCCCATGCCCTATCCATTGTGCCACCTAATGATATGACCTTTAATACTCAGGTCACTTAACCATTTTGTACTTATTATGGTTTATAGTGTAAGATATTGGTCCATTTTCCCAACAATATGATAATGCCTGGCAATCACATAATGCTCTAAAGTTTATAAAGCACTTTACAAATATAGGGTGACAGGTTTTTCACTGTGCAAAATCTTGCACTAAATTAATTTGACTTTGCTGCTGAATGATATGCATGATAAAAACAGGAATGCTTGCTACATGGGTGGAGAACTTGGCTCCCTTAGCTTCCCTTTTGTTCTGGTTCTAAGCCATAAAGGAACCTGGGAATACTTAAGACAATTTAGACCCTAAATAAGAGAGTTATCTGTGAGAGAAGCTTTGATCTTCCCCAAGAGGTTGAAAAGGAAAGACCTAAACTTAACCTGGAGCATCTGAGACTAACTTTTGTTAACTTGATGATATAGCTATGACTAAAGGGCTGTTTTTGTTTTCAATCTTTTCAGTCCTAACTGTTCATGACTCCATTTGGGATTGTCTTTGCAAAGATACTGGAGTGGTTTGCCATTTCCTTCTCCAGCTCATTTTACAGATGAGGAAACTGAGGCAAACAGGGTTAAGTGACTTGCCCAGGGTCACCCAGCTAGTGAGTGTCTGATGAGTCTTCCTGACTCCAGGCTGGATGCTTTCTATCCACTGGCACCTAGCTGCCCATTAAGCGCTCTTAGCCTATACTTATTAGGGAAAGTTTCTAGTCACTATACCCTAGCAGAATGAAGTTGACTTGGATTGGCTGGCTCTGAAGAGATGACCCAGCAGAGTAATGAAGCAAACAGAGACAACTTGACCATTTCAGCAAAAGCAGTATGTGGACATTACATCGTCCTTCCATGTTGGAGGTATAAGTTGTCTTGTATTCCCTATGCATGAATCTTTCATGCATTATTCTTATGCATACTCATCACACAGTCTATATGCATCAGAAACAGAATTTGGACCTAGGTCTTCCTGGGTTCTTTACTGCAGCACAGGCTGGTCCATCTCCAGTCATTCTGATCAATATCTGGCCACTGGACCCAGAGGGCTCTGGAGGAGAAAGTGAGGCTAGTGGTTTTGCATAGCCCTCCCTCACTCAAATCCAATTTAATTGCAAGTCATGTCATCATCTCCCTGAAGGCATGGTCCTCTTCAAGAATGAAGGACAAACAACAATCATTTATTTTCTCGCTGATGATGTCTATATTTGTGGAAAAATACACCATGGGATTGGGAGGAATCTTCTACTAAGCATCTTATTCTCCTCTTTCATTAAATGTATTTGCTTTCAATTAATGATCATTTATGACTGAATTGAGAAAAAGTATATACAACATTAGGGGCTAGTGAGCAATTCTTTTTGAGCAAATGTGGACCCACAGGGTACCTTGAATCTGGGGTAGCTGTTCCAGGGGACTCATATGTGAGAGGGGCTGCCCCAAGTTCCACAATAACACTGTGAGGTAGGTACTATAGGTGTTGTTATGACAGTTTTACAGATAAAAAAAACCTGAGTTCGGGAAGATTAAGTAACTTGCTTATGGTCATACAACTAGTAAATATCAGAGGTGGGATTTGAACTCAGCTCATCCCGGTTCCCAATCTAGTGGTTTATGATACTGCCTCTTACATGACTAAAATGTGGCATCCATAACTGAATGTAATAATCCACATGTAATCTAATTGGGGGAAAAATG